GATAAACGAGGGTTCACTGTATATACAATTGATGTAGCGTTACAAGAGCCCCCAATAAAATGATCTTTTTAAAAAAAATACTTCCATCATAAGTTGGGGACTTACCTGTATGTTGAACTGTTTTGATTGAATAGTAATTTTCCCTCTAGAAATCACTCACACCTAACATGCAATTTTCTGTTTCTATTAAAACCTTGAAAAGACATTCTTTTCCATGTTTGCTAATTATATTTTCACTTTTTTCCAAAGCATTGTGCCTCTCAATATTCAGAACTTCTAGAGACAACAGAGACCCCAAAGTAAGTACAATGCCAGATATTTACTAATGTTTGCAGCTAAATCTGTGGAGAGTTGTTATTGAGGATGTTTGATTTATATAAATGGGTGAGAAAAGTATAGCAGAACTTATCTTTGATTAGGTGGTAGAAAATAAAGAGGAATAACTATTCTCTTACTCAAATGTGGAAGTTTTTCTCTTTGTTCCCCCACAGACGGAAACGAGGTGAAAAGGGGGAAGTGGTGGAAACTGTCGAAGATGTCATTGTTCGGAAACTGACTGCTGAACGAGTGGAGGAATTAAAGAAAGTCATAAAAGAAACCCAAGAAAAATATAGGTACTAGCAGAAAAAATACCAAATGATGGAAAGAAAAGGTGCAAATACATGGTACTGATCAGAATTTTTCTAAATAACATTAAAAAACCACTACTGCCTTTCTTCTTACAGAAGACTGAAAAGAGATGCAGAATTAATTCAAGCTGGACACATGGACAGCAGACTGGATGAGCTTTGCAATGACATTGCAATGTGGGTTATATTATGTTGTTCTTCTGTCTGTGCTTTCCCAACCCCTACCCTTCTCCACACTCAAGTAATTCGCTTTTATCCTCCACTTGCAATCCATTTAGACAAGGCTGGTTCTAGAAAGGAAACGTTGTCGAGTAGCGTTGTGGCTGGGAGGGGGGAATAAGTCCTAGAAGGTAATGTGATGGAACATTTCTATGTGAAAATAAAAATCAGGTCTAACTTTAAAAATGGTCCTAGTTTGTTTGGGTGAAGAACTGGGAATTAGGCAGTATATAAAAATTCCCCCTTTCTCCAGAAAGCTGCTGGGCTGGGAGTACATTTCTTGGTGAGAAAATTGAACTATGGAGAAGGTGAAGTTGACTGGCCTCTGACCCTTAAATTCCCTCTTTAGGAAAAAGAAATTGGAGGAAGAGGAAGCTGAAGTGAAGAGGAAGGCCACGGATGCTGCATATCAGGGTAAATGAAGACTGATGACTGTTTAGCAGTTAACTACATATAGTACTGCATGTTAATGACAGTTGGAAACTAGTTTTGCAACATAGAATTCACTAGTTCCAATTTATTTGCATACTTCCCCTCTCATAATCATTTCTTACCAGAATAAAAATATTCCTTAATGTGCAGGCAGAATCTCTTAAAAAATAAGCTCTGCTTAGCTCTCACTAGATTCTGAATTGACTTTTCAGAGACAAAGGCTTGGAATAAGATGTCAAGCATAGCTAATGTTTTAGTTGTTAAGCTTTTAGAAAGATTGAGGGATGCTTGTGAGCCAAAGATTGAGGGAACCAGTGAGACCTGTTCGTTTGTTGCCATCTTTTTGGTATTGTGAGCAGTGTTGAGATGAACATAGATGAGCATATGTCTGTTCATATTACAATTCTTATTTCTGTAGGGTGTATACCTAACAGAGGGATTGCTGGGTCGTAGGGAATTTCTACTACCACTTGTTTGAGGTAGCACCATATCAATTTCCCAGTGGTTATGTGTTTTTATACCAGCAGTGTATGAGGATTCCAATTTCTCAATACTCTCCTGTCCAGCATTTGTTACTTTCTGCTTTTTAAAAAAGTATTATTACTTTTCTCTCGTTATCATTAGTTTAAGGTGGTATCTCATTGTTTTGATTTTCATCTCTTAGATGGCTAGTGATTGTGATCATTTCTTCATATAGCTGTTAGCCACTTGGATGTCATCTTTGGCGAACTGTTTGTGTCCTTTGCTCGTTTTTAATTGGATTATTAGTCGTTCTCTTGTTGAGGTTGGGCAGTTTTCTATAGACTTTGGAGATTAGTTCCCAGTATCAGTGACAAAATTTTTTGCCATTCCATGGATTGTCTTTTAACTCTTGATGAAACCTTTTGATGCACCTAGGTGTCTTATTTTTAGTAGATCCCAGTCATCTACTTTGTGTTCGTTATGTTTGATAGTATGTTTATACCCTATATTTTGGCCCTACGGTTGCCCTGTTTTCCATTGGCAGTCTGTATAACTCTGGTCTTTGATCCATCTTGAGTTAATTTTTGTAATGGGGTGCGGTATAGGTCTTTTTCGTTGTTCATACAGCGATCCCCTTTTGCCAGTACCATCTGTTGAGGAGATATAATCTCATCCCCGTTTAGTGTTTTCTGACCCTTCGTCGAAGATCTGTTGTCTGTTATTCTGGGACCTTTTGGAGAGTAAACAGTTGTTTAGTGATGGCATAAGAAATGCTCTTAGGAAACATTAGACAAAAACGTTGCATCTCCCAGAAGTGATTAGGGGAAAAAAGCTTTCTACTCCAGACTTAAAATGTAGTTTTGGTCATGTGGCACCCCTACTTACCTTTTGTTACTGAACAGCAGAGTAAAGTTTCTTTCTGTTTTCTGAAAAGTTAGACACTGTTTTCTTTCTGTTTTAGCTCGTCAAGCCATAAAAACACCCCCTCGGAGGTTACCAACCTTGATGGTCCGATCTCCTATAGGTTCTGCCTCCCCCGGAGGTGATTATCCACTTGGGGACTTAACTTCAGCCACTATGGAAGAGGCCACTTCCGGGGTGAGTGTGTTTTCATCCTCAGGAATTGACCAACAAAGGGGTGATGAGCCAGCAAAGAGCTGAATGATGAGGAAACCACTTAATGATTTAGAGGCAACTTCTTATCTTGGTCTGAATGCAAAAACTTAATTTACTGTGTTTACTAAGATAACGGTGACCCTAAAAACGTTAAAGTTTGGGACCTTTAGAAAAATAGGTAAAAGACGATGCTAAGAATTTACTTCCTGAGTGTACTAGTCTTATGACATTTCCTGTTAAAATAGGGGACAGTTTCCTTATAAATACAGTATTGATAGTGCATAGGAGTTTGTATAAATTTGTGGAGTGATTGGGTCATCGTGGGTTTGAGTGGGTGGAATAGAAAAACTTGTTGAGGGAAAAAGATATGGCTGATAACAAGAAAGCTAGAGGGTTTCTGGGCAGTTCCACTCAGGACTAAAAAAGTAATAGACACATTAACCCATCCAGATTAGTAGGGAAGAACCTTCCAGAGTTTGAGAAGTCAGATAAAGGTTCTCTGTTGTCTCTTAGGTAACCCCTGGGACTTTGCCGAGTACCCCAGTCACCTCGTTTCCTGGGATTCCTGACACCCTTCCTCCAGGCTCTGCACCCTTAGAAGCCCCCATGACCCCAATAACAGATGATTCACCCCAGAAAAAGATGCTTGGACAGAAAGCAACTCCACCCCCCTCCCCTCTGCTGTCAGAGCTCTTGAAGAAGGGCAGCCTCCTGCCTACTAGCCCCAGACTGGTATGGAGACTTCTGTGGGTGTTTGAGAGCTGTGGTGATTTAGTACTTGGAAGGGAGTGCCTGGGACCTAAACTATGACATGGGGGAAAAAAAGTTCAAAAGAGGAAAAGTCTCTTAGTTAAAAGTGAATTAAAAGGAAAATATATATATATATATATATACACTTAAGCTGATCGTCTCCTTGGGTTCTGAGGTATCTGAACCGCAATTATTTTGGTTGTCTTCCCTAGAAAACTCTTGTCAAGAAAGGTTGAAAATTATAGTTTAGAGAATTTCCTTTGGGTCTGAAAGAATTTTCTTAGTTTTCATGAAGTTTGGTCAACTGCTGACCTTTTTTTAGGAAGTGGTAGCAATGGAAACCTTGAGTGTAGCCTTCACCTCTGTTCTTGCCTGGTAGGTCAGTGAAAATGAAATGGCTGTGACTTCTGGCCACCTGAACAGTACAGGTGTCCTCCTGGAGGTAGGCGGGGTGCTTCCTGTGATACATGGTGGGGAGATGCAGCCAACACCCAACACTGTTGCAGCCTCCCCTGCCGCCTCAGGTAAGTCACCGGTTTCCCCCTGTCTACTTCCGAGATGTTGGCCATAACACTGACTGCTCTGGGTTTCCTAGTGTTTGATACTAAGTAGTTGCCTGTCCGAGATTTAAACTTCAACCTTGGAGCTATACTTTACCTCTTTTACACATAGATGGTAAATTCATTCCATCCTTAAGATAAGGATAACCCTGTATGACCACAGTGTAGATATTGATGAGGGAAGTGATGAAGTTAATGGTTGCTTTTCCGGGACTTGTAAAATCACAGAAAGATGATAAACAGATTATATAACAGGGGAACAAAATTTGGACCAGAGAACTGGATTGGCATCCATTGAATTTGTAGCTCTTGAACCTCCGTTTCCTCTTATTAATTGCAAATGTTAGTATGTACTTGACAAGGATGTATTATTAAATGAAGTAGAAAATGTGGGGGAAATAAGCTTTGTACATTATTTTATAACCACTAGGTATTAGTATTCAATGCTGAACTTTGGCAGAAATGGCAGATTTATTTGTACCAGTATTTTTGTTGTTTGTTATAATTGAATTTTCCTCTAAGGAAAAATTGCTACTCAGTTTTCATATACATTTTACGTTCTAGAGTTTTGACTCACTCTTCACTTGGAGGAACTAGTTACTACATAATTGAAGAAAGTAAGGGGACAGATAGCTTATTCAACATAAGAGTTGCTTTCAACCTTTGAAATATAAAAATTTCTTGGTTGAGTCTTAAAGTGGCTTCTTATTCATGTGCTTTCTTCTTCCCTCATTTTGTGTACCTCTTTGTCTGTTAGGTGCTCCCACTCTTTCCCGGCTTTTAGAAGCTGGTCCTACACAGTTCACCACACCTCTTGCTTCCTTCACTACTGTTGCCAGTGAGCCTCCAGTTAAACTTGTGCCACCCCCTGTAGAGTCTGTGTCCCAGGCTACCATTGTCATGATGCCTGCGCTGCCAGCACCATCCTCTGCTCCGGCTGTCTCCACTCCGGAGAGTGTAGCTCCAGGTGCGTCCCTGACCCACGCCCTGAGCAGCCACTAGATCCAAATTTCATGTTGAGCTTCAGTCAGAGGAAGGTCAAGAAGAGCATCAATTCCAGTTCAGATGCTTCTGTTCTCCATAGATGTATGTCATCTTTGTCCTGAGAGAAAGCAAGAATGTGGGAATAAATGGGTGGGCACTTAAGTGTTTGGGGAAAATGTGAATATGAGAGGAATAAGGAATGTTATTCTCACCTTTCAAAATAAAATGGGGGGAAAGGAAATAACTTTCTGAGCCAAACTGTTGGGGGTACTGAACATCTGTCTACAGCTTTGATGTGATCTCCAAGTAATCACTTGGTACCTAATACAATTCTGAGACGCTTTTCTTTTCCTGTTATTAAGTGAGTCAGCCTGACACTTGTGTTCCTATGGAGACTGTGGGAGATCCACATACTGTGACTGTTTCCATGGATAGCAATGAAATCTCCATGATCATCAATTCTATCAAAGAAGAATGTTTCCGTTCAGGGGTAGCAGAGGCCCCTGGAGGATCAAAGGCTCCCAGCATTGATGGGAAGGAAGATTTAGATTTAGCTGAGAAGATGGATATTGCTGTATCTTACACAGGTGAAGAGCTGGACTTTGAGACTGTTGGAGATATCATTGCCATCATTGAGGACAAGGTAACTATTCAGCAAAATCCAAAAGAATCTTCCATAGGTCTTACATAAGCTTCTCGTATTGCATCTAGTTGTGAGAATTATTTAAGAAACAAGCAAACAAACACCCACTCCTGCTCCTGTTTTTCTCCATCTCTGTATTCCCAAAGAAAGCCTGTTGGTACTGACATGCTAATCATCTCCTCAGCCATCCTATGCCACTGGTTTGTCCAGAACAGGTATTTGTCTGTTGGTTGCTTCTACTACATGGAGGAGTTGGAGAGAAGCTGCAGATTCAGGCCATCTCATTTGATGCTAACAGGATTAAGGGATGTGGGCTTTCTTCTGTGACTTCAATAGTCTGTGTTTATGGGACAGGTAGATGATCATCCTGAAGTGTTGGATGTAGCAGCAGTGGAAGCAGCACTGTCATTCTGTGAAGAGAATGATGATCCTCAATCCTTGCCTGGCCCCTGGGAGCATCCTATCCAACAGGAACGGGACAAGCCAGTACCACTCCCTGTACCCGAGATGACAGTCAAGCAAGAGAGGCTGGACTTTGAGGATACAGAAAACAAGGGAATCCATGAATTGGTGAACATCAGAGAATCCAGCGTTGAGATCAAGGTGGAGCCTACGGAACCAGAGCAAGGCATTTCAGGGGCTGAAATAGTAGCTGGGGTTGTCCCTGCCATAAGTATGGAGCCACCAGAACTTAGGAGTCAAGACATAGACGAAGACCCCAGAAGTACTGCAACTGGAGAGATGACCGAAGCAGATGTTTCTAGTGGGAAAGGCGATGAGACTCCACTTACAACTGTGAAGACAGAGGTATGGAGTAGGGGTTGGGAAAGATGAAGGGTTATATATCTTAAGTAAAAAGTGACAGTGAAGGCTTTCATTACATTCCCCAGTTCTGGCATGTTTTTGTCCAAAGTCCACAGGTTGTGATGAGTAGTATACTTGTCCTATTCCATTAGAATTATGTTACATGAGTAGGACTTAGAATATCTTCTGTGGTTCTCATTCTCACTGAAGAATAAAATTGTTGAGCCTTGGTGGTTTACCCGTCCTTAGGGTATGTGTTCTCTTTGGTCTTCAGGCATCTCCTGAGAGCATATTGTCTCCATCACATGGCTCAAATCCCATTGAAGATCCATTAGAAGCAGAGACCCAGCACAAGTTTGAAATGTCAGGTAAATAATCAGACAAGAAAATCTTTACCCTGTAACTAATTAACCTGAGAGATTTGCTTTGGCTTCTGAGGGATTGTGGGTTGTGGGCGAGCAAAGGAGTTAGAACAGGTCAGCATGGAAAGGGAGAGCTGCAGCAGATGATGGTCCATAGGAAGGGGAAGGCTAAGGTGGAAAAATCTTCAGGTAGTCTCTCTCTCCTCTGCAGACTCATTGAAAGAAGAATCAGAGACTATCTTTGGAAGCCAGATAAAGGTATTTCAGACTTTTCTGTATTCGTTTTGCCATGTGACTAGATTTTCCTTAATGAATGTCCGTAAACTCACATCTTTTTTCTTTGCGATGAGACTGGTTAAGGAGTTGCATGGAGAAAAGGAGTAAGTAGGTAGTCGGGCATAGTGGGAGTGCATTGGCAAAATGTGTTGTCTGAGTTTCTGAACATCATGCGGACCTTTCTGTACATACAGTGCACAAAGAATCTTTGATAAACTTAGAATGATTTAGAGAGAATTGGGATATTAGAGCCAGGGAGGAAAACATGCTAGAAATCATAGTAAGATTATTAAAAGAGAATCACACAAAATTACATCTTTAGAATTAATAAAGCGGCAGTAACAGAGACTAATTAGTATGATGTGAGCTTTCTCCATCAGAGAAGACACAAAGTAAAAACTATTTTTGATAACTTTGTACCCAGGGTCAGAGTTCCTCTCAAGAGCAAGGGGAAAGAAGGAACGCATCTTTAGCTTAGCCTTAAGTAAGTAGCTTTTTTTTTCCACCCCTCCTCCTGTTTACAAAGAACCTGGGTCTTATTCTTTGCCCAGGTTTTAAATTTCCTTTCTTGGTCCATCAGTGTCTGTAAATAGTTGGCAGTATGAGTGATAGAGGGCTCAGTCAGGAAACAGTGTGAGGCCATTTCTAAACTGAACTAACCCAGGAGACATGTTTAGATAGCTTGGCTTGCATTTATTGACTGAAGCACACTGTCTAAGGATGCCACAGGTGACGAGGAGGAGGAAGATGGAGTCAGTGAAGCAGCCAGCCTAGAGGAGCCCAAGGAAGAAGATCAAGGGGAAGGCTATTTGTCAGAAATGGATAATGAGCCTCCTGTGAGTGAGAGTGATGATGGCTTTAGTATCCACAATGCTACACTGCAGTCCCACACACTGGCAGACTCCATCCCCAGCAGCCCTGCGTCTTCACAGTTGTGAGTATCTGGAATTCTTTCTTTGAGGTCAGACATTGAGAGTCAGAAGTAGACGAGGATCTTTTCTCTAGTCTGCTTTTTTCATCTTTCCGTTTGGGGCCTGGAATAAAAGTTGACAAGAAACATAAGGACTTTTTCAGGAGAAAGCTTTGATGATCTCTCATAAAGATTTTAGCCTAGAAAACCCTACAGGGGCAATTCTACCGTCACATGATACCACCATGAGTGGGTAACAATCTGAGTGTATGTAACAAAAGCAACATTAATTGGGTGGTGTAGGCATAGGGGAGTAAAGAAGTATTAGGGCTTTCTATACGTATCTAGTGAGACTCCCTTTATCTCTTTACCTTCAGCTCTGTCTGTAGTGAGGATCAGGAAGCAATTCAGGCACAGAAAATATGGAAGAAAGCTATCATGCTTGTATGGAGAGCTGCAGCTAATCATAGGTGAGTGAACTTTTCCAGTCCAGGAGAGACATTTTCTCCTGTTGATCCTCATTATTGGTGACAGATAAGTCCAAGTAGGCTTCTTTGGGACTATTAGAGATGTCTCTTAAAACCTTCAGCTACTTAAGCAAGTTCCCTCACAAACTTGTGGAGAGTAGGTTGGTAATTGGATCTTAATTTTTTTGGATAGGTATGCCAATGTATTCCTGCAACCTGTAACAGATGACATAGCACCCGGCTACCATAGCATTGTACAGAGGTAAGCTGTGGTCTGTCTAGCATGCTAGCTTAAATGATTTAAAAGTTGCGCAATCCAACAGAAAAGTGGATAAAGGGAACCATCGGTCAGTGTAAGACATGAAAAAATAATAATTTATGAATTATCAAGGGTTCGGGAGGGAGGAAGGGAAAAATGAGGAGCTGATATTAAGGGCTCAAGTAGAAAGAAAATGTTTTGAAAATGATGATGGCAACATATGTACAAATGTGCTTGACACAGTGGATGAATGTATGGAATGTGATAAGAGCTGTATGAGCCCCCAATAAAATGATTTTTTTTAAAAATGGCAACAAATGTAAAAATGTGCTTGACCCAATGGATGTATGTATGTATTGTGAAAAGAGCTGTATGAGCCTCCAATAAAATGAAAAAAAAAAGCAAACAAAAAAAATCTGTCCAGTCTTAGTGAATTTTTGCTTTTAGATCATTTAATGCAAATTTTTTTCAAATGTGTTTATATGATTGGGCTGCATTGGGCTACAATCCACAAGGTCAGCAGTTTGAAACCAGCAGCCACTCTAGAGCAGTGGTTCTCAGCCTTCCTAATGCCGCGACCCTTTCATACAGTTTCTCGTGTTGTGGTGACCCCCAACCATAAAATTATTTTCGTTGCTACTTCATAACTAATTTTGCTCCTGTTGTGAATCAGGCGACCCCTGTGACAGAGTTGTTCGATCTCCAAAGGGGTCATGACCCACAGGTTGGGAACCACTGCTCTAGAGAAAGACAAGGTTTTGTACACTTGTAAAGAGTTAGTCTCAGAAAACCATAGGGGGCCCTTTTTGCCTGTCCTGTAGGGTTGCTCTGATTCAGAATTGACTCGATGGCAGTAAGGGTGTTTTTATTTTTTGTTTTTAAGGATGTCCAAGTGCTAACCTAACCATTCCAATCAGTACCTGTATAATAACCTCTGATAATCTATGACAGTTAACTTTTTATTACTGTTCTCAATAGTTAATTATACAGACTGACTCTCCTCCCCTCATACTTCCTCTCCCCCACAGAGGATGTTAGGTATATTTTGGGGCGGGGGGGAATTGGTGATTTGAGTCCTGGCAGCTGGGACCAAAGGGATATATGAGAAGTCATACATGGACAGTGTATTCAGAGATTTAAGGTGTGACTTTTCTTATCTCTATGGCCGTTTACCCCGTTCCTCTTTTAGGCCTATGGATTTGTCAACTATTAAGAAAAACATTGAAAATGGACTAATTCGCAGCACAGCTGAATTTCAGCGTGACATCATGCTGATGTTTCAGAATGCTGTGATGTACAATAGCTCAGACCATGATGTCTATCACATGGCAGTAGAGATGCAGCGAGATGTCTTGGAGCAGATCCAGGTACTTTGAGAATCCTTAGTGTTTTAGCAAGGATGAAATGAAATTACTTGAAGCAAAAAATTCACCGTGTTGCTAGGAAGGGGTGCTATGATTTCCCCTTGAAATAGCCAGTCGGACACAGGAGCATAAGTTTGTTCTTGCTTAATTCATGCAGGTTTTCTTTGGTTGGTAAAAGAGTTGGAGAGTGTTTTTTCTTTCTTGAACAAGTATGTTCCGTTTCCTTGTGTTAAAAGGAATGGCAGAGGTGTCTGATTTCTTAACTTCATGAAGGAGAGAGAATCACCATCAGCCTAAAGCTGATTCATATGAAGCTGAGGTCAGACGTCCTGCTTTTTCCAACCTTTTTACCAGTTCTGATACCACCTGCCCGTCACATGACACTCTCCTTTGCAAAATTTCATTGCAATGGCCATAAGGAACTCAGAGAAGTTACAATTCAGAATTGAACAACTCAGGATAGAGTTCTTCAGGACAGCCCCTTGGTTCCTTGGGCTTCTTGTGGTCCCAGACTTTGCCCCACAACAGCAAGTTTTTATCATCTTTAGCTCCACAGATAAGTACACAGAGGAACCCCACTCCACCTGTAAGTGTTGGCCGGAAGAAGCTCAGCTCTCTCATTGTGAGCTGGGAAACCAACTGGACCATCTCTTGCCAGTCACCTGGTTCTTCTGCCCCGCTGCCACCCATTCTTTGCCACTGCTTCTCACCCTCTCTCATTGTCTCTGGTACTGGGTCCAGGAGGATATCAGCACAGGGATCCCAGGTCCAAAGGACATGCTCTACTTATAGCTTTTCTTTCTTGATGGTAGTGAGGTCCCCCCCTTTTGCTTCTGGTATGGGTTCTTTTAAGCTTAGCGGAATGACAAAACGGACCAATCCCCTTGTTTTAGGGTCTCATGTACAGTATTTGCATTTTTCTATCCCTTCAAGGATGTCAATCACCGTATTAGAATTTTCAGCAAACTAGTCAATCCTCTTGGTGGGCCACAAGCACCTGGTTTACATAGACATACTCAATCATTTCTGGGAAATTACAAGACCATGATGAGAAAGACCTTATAAGAGCAATGTGTTGTGCTACACTTTATTTCTAAAATGATGACTATACATAAATTTTAAATTTATGTTAACATTGGTACATTGTAAACATTTGACAACTAGTTTCTTCTTACTCTTTCATTACAGATAACGTACTATGCTGTAGTTGCAAGGGTGACTACTCTTGGGGAGATTGAACTTGAAGAAATGTTATTTATCATTGCAAAGATAGCCAGATAAATTGCTTAATGATCTTCAGTTCATCCATTTGTTATCCCTGTTCTCATTTTTAGAGTGTAGAGAGTTTGTTACTGTACTATAGCCCACAAAAGTTTAGGGACATTTGAGATTTTCAGAGTTCTTTAACATGTCTGTTGTGACAACTAGAGTTAAAATCTAATATAGTAGAGGAGGAAAAATTAATATAGTGAACTTCCAAATAAGTACTCAAGTGCTATTTGCAGGTTACCAGATACAGTCCTAATCATAAAGCTTAAAGTATCTTTAAGTCTTCCCTACTCAGTTAAGTTGTTAGGACCTCCTTTTTTCCCTGCAGCAATTCCTGGCTACGCAGTTGATTATGCAAACATCCGAATCTGGGATCAGTGCTAAAAGTCTTCGAGGGAGAGATTCTACTCGTAAACAGGATTCTTCAGAGAAGGTGAGGAGACCAGGAAAGAGCCTATTGGCCAGTGTTCTAGTGATAGAAGTCTGAAGCTTCCAAGAGCTGTGTTTCTGCTTTGTTCTGCTAAGCATATGCTGTATATTCCAGTGGTGTACAGACACATAGGTCTTTAAGATTTTGGCAATTTAAAATCAGAGATCTCTGAAAAATTTAGAAGTTAAATCTATTAGGAACGTTTAGGTGTCTGGGTGTTATGTAGGCTACTCCTCATTTAAATCCCTGGCATTCTCCTCTTAGCATGGGGATTGTTTACTCCCCTCCAAACACTGAAGAAACCTGCGTGGCTCGGCACATTCCCACAGAAACTGTGAGCTGAGTGAATGAATTATTAATGCCTGTGGAGAAGGTGTGGGAAATAGCTTGGAGCTGTTGGAGGCTGCCAGTTTCTGTACAGAGACACATGGCCAGATTGCTTTTGGATCTCTTTCTTCTTATTCTTGAGTTTTAAAATTTTGTCTGTGTGTATGGTGCTTGTGTCTCTGTCTTGAGGTTTGGGGTGCTTGTGGCTGAGAGTTTCCGTGGAACCTGATCAGTGTTTGTTTGTCCTCTAACAGGACAGTGTCCCCATGGGCTCTCCTGCCTTCCTTCTCTCTCTCTTTGTAAGTATTGAATGGCTGCAAGGGGTGGTGTTGCCATAAAGATGCTCTGCTCCTGCTGTGGGTGGGTGCAGAGGGAAACCCAACATGCAGACTGTGGCAATGGCTTCAGTGTCTATTTAGTCAGGTCATTGGATAAGAAACTGTCTGTTCTTCTGCATTCCTATTCTTGCTGCATGTGTGTGTATGTGGGCTGAGTAGAGACTGTTTATGAGGTTACTGGGCTAAATGAGGTATTTTGGGTGTATAGAATCTAGGGTGTATCTGCTAATTATTATCTTACAAACAGAAGGTTGTTGAGATCAGCAGCTGCTAAGCTGGCTTTTAAAAGTATTCCTCATACTGGCAGATACTTGGCACATAGTTTTTCTCTTCTAAAATTATGTTGCAAGACTGCTGCCTAACAAACTCAGTAAAATATAAACTAAAGATTAAAAATAAATAAAAGATTTCAATAGCAATGACCACTACATATAGTAGTGGTTGGTCAAAATTAGCTACTTAGTAGGGCTATCCTAAAGGCTTACATTCTTTTCCCGCATGGATTAAATGACCCTCTGACTGTTGCTCATTATGGGACAGTGAGGCATGATACAGTGGTACAGGCTAGAAAACTACTGTTTGCAAACTCATTAGATAATCTATTGGGGTCTTATTTTCATCTGTGTGATGGAGTTAATATAATGGGGTACCTGTCCAGTCTACCTCACAGGGATGATGTGAGAACAAAATGAGATACTAGGTATGGAAACGGCTTTTAAAAATTATTAAAGTGTTATACAGTGCAAGGTGGTATATTTATTCTTAGTGTTTGCCTCTTAAAAGCAACTTATGTTATTGAATTCTAAACATATTAGAATCCTTGCATATTCAAAGTGTAAAAATGGCCTGGCCCAGCAAAAGTGTTCACAAGTTCATCTTGCCTACAGGCCCCTAGTCTGTAGCAGACAGAACACTATAATCTCTGTTCTTTCTCATTGGCCTGCATCAGTGACTCTGGATCCCCAAGCAATTGGCTGGCTGTTGCAAGGCTGGTTAATAGTATCTAACTTTTATCTATTGAAGACAGCAAAGTATTGCACAGGATGAAGGAGCTGGGCTGCAGGGAGAGAGCAGCAGATGGAAAGAAGCCTTCTGATTGCCCTGATCTCATGGAAAGCAACTGTCAGGAGGTGCTAGGGAACTAGTGCCAGGGTCAGTCTGCAGGAAAGGCCTTTCTTATAGGGACCAACAGCTGGACAGGTACGTTAGCCAAGAACCTCACTTCCCACTGCCCTTTCTAACTTTCCCACCTTTCTCACTCTTTCTGTTCCTTTGCACATGATTTGGGGACTGGGTGGGATCACTAATAGTCATTCTGTGGGACCCCCACATGAATTCCAGCAACCTCTGGTGGGCACGAGTGAGATACTCTGGCAGTTCCTCTCACACATTACTAGGTGCTCTATACCCAATCCTTAGAAAGACAAATATGTCCTCTCACACCCCTGGATCTTTCTTCTGATTCTCTGCCCTCCCCCAACAAACCAAATCCCAGTATTCTTCATGTTGCACCTTCTCTGGTCCACCCTAACCAACTCCCTCATGCCCTTTCTTTGTCTGCCTGCCATCTAGGATGGGGGAACCAGGGGGCGACGCTGTGCCATTGAAGCAGATATGAAGATGAAGAAGTGACGAATGACTTCTTCAGAGGCTTCAGAAGACGACCTTTGTGCCGAACCTGAATGGAAGTGAACAAGATAGAGCTTGGGCTCTTAGGCCCAGATTCAGACAAGTGGGAGTTACAGAAGAATTGGCACCTGGGCCACGTGATATGAGCTGGAAACTCTGTCAGAGAGTAGAAGTAGCCCAATTGCCTGTTTTAGGGCAACAGTTAAGGCCTGTAATTAATGTCCTAATGTGTATCTAGCAGATTGTGGCTAGTTTATACTGTCTTGTGAAGTGTACAGACTTTTTAAAAACTTGTGAAGTGTTCGTGCATACAATAAATTCTGGAAGAAAAGAAAATTTTAGCCTTTACTCTGTTCTGTGTGTGTGTAGCTGTGTGTGTGTGTGTGTGTGTGTGTGTGTGTGTGTGTGTGAGAGAGAGAGAGAGAGAGAGAGAGAGAGAGACAGAGAGATTTTACTATGTAGCTTCCTCTATATAACTTTCATCATTTGTGGGAATGAGATGGTTGGAGAAAAACCGGGTCTTATAATATGAATTATTGTACTATTGCTGATGGGAGATACTGACCAAGATAAAATTTTGTAGTGAATGCTTAAAAGTATTGCACCGTGTAATATAGACTATTCTATGCCACTTTCTATGAGTTTGGGAAACTATCTTTTTTAACGTTCTGCTCATGGCATTGCTTAGAGCATGGACATTGGTAGCGCTGACCATTATTTCAGGGCACATGTCCCATTTAATCCTCTCTTTTCAAATGGTACTTTTTAGATAGTATATTTCCATTATCTTACCATCTCTTTCTATGTCTAGGACTCTGGTATACTTCAGAGTTCGTATTTGAATACTAAACAGTGTGAGTTACCAAATTTAATGTCTTCTGGCAACTCATTAGTAGAACTTATGACACTAAACAGATTAGTAGGTTATTGTCTTATGCTTTGAAGTTTCTTGAGAAAATAAGTTTAAAAAAACGTACAGATCTTCTTGCCTCAAATAGAATTGATTGTATAAAAACCATTTTGAGGTGTTGAGGGGGTAAGGGGATCTTTGTGAATTCAGAGGAAGGAAGTCAATCAGTCCAGCAAGTAGAACATTGGGAATAAGAGCATCTTTCCCAAGCATTTCCTAGGTAGGGATGAAATGTTGTAAGCAATGAAAGACTGCAGTTTAGCAAAAGGATGAAGGAAAGTTGGGCACTAGGGTTACAGGTTTTGTTGGGTTGGTAGAGTAGCTATATTAGGTGAAATTGTCATCTGTGGTTGGAACAACGTGACAAATGTAATTGGAACAGAGAGTTCGTATACTGAGGAATAGAGGTACCAGGTCAATAAAGAATAGAGTAGAATGTGGCAGATTGAGAACTATAATATGTATTTAAGGGTTGGCCATTCTAAGACCTTTGAGTTCTGAAACAGCAGATTGGGTTGAAGTTAAATCAACACGGAGGCTACAGTGTTTGTTCAAGAACAAAAGATGATGAATGAGAAACATTACCTTGCCAAAAATTGGGAATAGAATATGCTTACTAACTACAAGAGTCAAAACAAGACTGTTCTGTAGAGTAAGAGAACAGTGATGATGGAGATATGGAAATCCAGAACAACCATTTTGGTGAGATATAGATGGGAAACATGATGTTAGCTTTGGAAATGTTGAGTTGAAGCAGGTAGTAGGATAGTTAAAAGGTACTGACCATTGATTAAGTAGAAAAATCAAGCCGGAATGCATATATAAAAGGTAAAGGTACAGAAATTTGGGAGCCACCTGAGTAGAGCTCAAACTTGAAATTTCAAAACAAAAATTTTTTGCAGGTGTTTTACTGAGCAAAGGACCACATAACAGAATTTAAGGATTGAAAGTCATAAAAGGGAGAGAAATTTTAAAACTAGTGTAATAAAAACTGGAAAACATTTAAAGATTATATTGCTGTTTACATTCTGAGAAATGACGGATTTGACCAGGAGGATATCAAGAATACAGTGTGCTTTGGGGATTTGATGGTTGACAGGTTAAAAATGTGGATACAAAAAGTTATACTTATTCCTTCAAATTGATTGCCTTATTGAATTTAAGGGGTACTTGGCAGAAAGGAATTCTGTTAAACCTTGCTATATATTATTTCTGTGTGGTGAATATGAGGAAAACCAAATAAAAGTATTTTATTGTTGGATAATAATCGCTCTAACACTATTAGACATGAAACTGTTTCTTTATTCCCAATACACTCTCCCCAAATTTCCTTTCTTCAGATAGCATTTTTTTCTTTCTAATGATTAGTAAAAAGACATTTTGGTCCCTTATCATTCTACTAGGACTTCCTACATGGCAGCAAACAACTAGTTAAGCATTCAACCACTAACTGAAAGGTTGGCAATTCAGACCCACCCAGATGCTCCTCTGAAGAAAGTCCTGGCAAATGCTTCCAAAAGTCATACCCTTGACAGCCCTACGGAGCAGTTTGACTCTGCCACACGTGGGGTAGCGTTTGAATCAACAGCAACTGGTTTGGTTTGGTTTGCTCCTATTGAACTTGAAAGGTGGAGATGCCCTAGGAATAATGAATTGAGTTAATGCCTTTTTTTCTCTCTCTCCTATGTATTTTCAGATGGGTCAGGAGTGGGTTTGGTTGGATTCTGAGCAATGTTATCCCAGTGACTCTGAGTTGAGCAACGACTGCAGGTCTCTCTTCAGTTCATGGGACTCCAGTATGGATCTGGATGTGGGCAGCTGGAGGGAAACTGAGGAACCAGGGGCTGAGGAACTAGAGGAAAGCAGCCCAGGCAGAGAACCTAGTGAGCCTCTTGGGGATGGAGACAGTGAGGAGTCTCAGGAAGAGACAGTGCAAGTCAGACGCCAGAACCTCCTTCACTTTCTCTCTGAGGTAATGGTGAACCTCAACTGTTTTAGAGAATGCGTATTTTTTCATGTTTCTGCCATGCTTGCTTCTGTCCACTAGAATGTAAATTCCACAGCAGCAGGGCCGAAATTCCTAGCTGTAATCCCCAGCACAGAAAATGTGCTGTCTATGTACTTTTGGGCTGAGGAATCTAATACTCCAGTTAGAGGGACCTGAGTGGAATTTCTGTATGCATGACTACCTGGCAATTTATTATAATGGAGTTTCGGAGGTTACCCTTGCCCACACTCCTTTAAGTTTGTAATGTTAAAACTTCAAACTTACAACTTCAGAGCAATATATAATTTACAGAGTTTTGCAGTATTTTTAAGTTCTCTTTACCCTGATTGCTGCTAACGATGAGGTTGGTGGTTCAAAGATGAGACTGCCTGCTCCCTTAAAGATGTAGAGCCTTGGAAACCTTACACAGGCAGGGGCTCTACTCAATGGCAGTTGGGCTAACTGCATTATCCTGGTTAAGGGTTGAGGACTAGAAATAAACAATTGAATGGAGAGTTTTATAGAAATGCTAGGACTAAACATGCTCAGAAGAATTTCAATCAAGAGTGGCAAGGTTGGTGAAACGTGGGAGCCAAAACTTGACAGGACTGCCTTGTTTTTCCAGGCCTGGTGCAGTCTGTGTGTGTGTGTGTGTGTGTGTGTGTGTGTGTGT